CTGAAAGGACAAATGCATTACCCTCATCTGGGCTAGCCGAGAAGGACAAGAGAAAGCCTGACTAGCAGCTATAAAATGGAGGGTACAGAACATAAAAGTGTACCTTCACGCCTCCTTCTTGTGGATTTAACACTAAAATAGCTCACAAAATGCTGTATTTGTTAAATGCAAAAAAAAAAAAAAAAAAAAAAAAAAAAAAAAGCAAGCTATAAAGCACTGCAACTTACATGCATTTTAGTTACCTCCACAGCATTAGTTTTCCCCCCAGTTGTTTTTGCTCTAGAATTGGCAAAGTGCCACAAGCACACCATTCCAGTTCCTAACAGTTTGTAGCTACTCCTACCCTTGCTAGGGAAGCAGAGGAGGGACAGGAAGAGGAAGAAAGCAGAGGGGAGCCTTGCAGTGAGGAATGGTCACTCTGGAGAAAGATTTCAGCAGAGATTGGGCTCATGTGATAGACGTGCTGAAAGCCTGTTGGAGGTGGTATCAGAGCAGAATGTTGAGAGGATGAGGGGGAAGGAAATTCATTCTGTTATTTTAAGAAGACAAACAAGAAAAAGGAAGGAGGAGAGACCGATTATTTACAAAACTACTAACAAGCTCCTGGCAGTGACACCTATTTCTTTCAGGGTCTCATTCGTAAGTCAGCTAACAGTATTTCCTTGCACAGGATTTAGAAGCATTGCAAATCAGGAAGGTTCATCTTTCTCAAAATAATTAGAAGAAGAATTTGGTACAGAGATAACACTTGAACCCTATACAGCTCATCTTCACAGTTTTTCTGAGCAAGAACAAATGCACATACATCTCCCTCCCTTTTAAATGTGTTTTACCAGTGGGAGGTCCATGAGAACCTGCATTCCATCTCCTGGTCCCATATGAGCCACGTGGTTGAAATTCGTTGGGTTAGAAATCATCTTTGACCTTAGCTCAGGGTCTCTAAGCATTTCCCTAAAAGAACAGAGTGATTTTTGCTATTAGCATTCCCAGTCTCTGCATGTCATCATGTATATTAAGTTACATACCGTGATTAAATTCTTACCGCCTTTGTTGTAATCGCTCTTCCTCGGGAACCTTAAATACAAATTTTCTTTTGCTCCTAGTTCGAAGCATTTGCTTCTTGCTATTGTCAGATGTTTCTGGTACACTGAGGACAGCTCCTGCTGTAACACCACAATGCAATTTCACAAACATAGGTACATGCTGACCCAGCCGCATCCAATACAAGTTTCATCTCATGCAAAGGTAACATTGCTTAAAATTACCCAGTTAGCTTTGTATCATTTTCCCATTTCTCCCCGTGCTCAGTACTCACCTGCAAACTTGTTCTTGAAATATATTAGTCTTGGCGGCTCACAGTTGAGAAGATTCAGTGTGCCGTCCATGTTTAATGGTCTGATCTGTTTTGAGGAAGGAGGCAGAGAATTAACTCAAGCCTAGCATACACTGTAAAGAAACATCTCATTTGGAATTAACACAGTTAAGTTCTACATTCAAAGAAGATTACTTACCCTTCGCAGGCCAATAGTCTGGACCCATTCCATAGTGTTAACATCAAATACATCAACACCATACTCGCTATACACTGTTACATATGAAGAATTGCAACCTGCATAGATTAAAAACAAACAGAAAACCCTAATGTGGTTTCAGTAGTCAAGAACTGACATATATTTGAGCAAATTTCTATATTTACCAGTTTTCCACCACGTGCGAGATACATTTTAAAACACTTTTTCCCAGCCCCACTTTCAAACAGATATTTTTGTGATAATAGATTTGCTAACAACAACTGCCATCATCGTGGAAAGATTTAAATTTGACTCTTTCTGTATTTTTAAACTTCAAATTATGATTTAATGAAATTGCAAAATGGCATCTGAAGTTTTCAGATGCATACAAATTTGCTACTTGGTAGAAACTGAGCAGCTAGCTTTTCTACAGATGCAGATTACTTCATTTCGGAAGCATCAAACCAACTATACATCTGCCGTGTGCAGGGGAAAAGAGAGGCCACCATCTGCGAGGTGGGTCATGAAGTCATGATGCGGATCTGTTCTCAATTTCCTTCCTCTTTTGCTAACAATTATCTAGCTTTAGATATTCATGTATGGGTTGCTTTCATCAGGTTAACAGAAAAATGTTGCAATGCTTAAAGCCCACAACCCATTTTCTCTTTTCAACTGTTTTTTTTTTTGTTTTTTTTTTTTTTTTTGTTAAAGCATAAAAGGCATCAGCAGACAAGTTTATTTTAGGTCAAATGAAAAGCGGAGATCCCTAGAGCTTCATATCAACATGCTTCTGCTCATGGAAAGACCCTGTCCTGATGTAAAGAGCAGTTACTAGAAATTTATGGGATTTAATAGAGGAAAAGAGCCACTTCAATAAACAAAAGCAAAATAACGCAGTAGGACACTAAACACTTCACAGAATCTTCTTAGAAAAAATGAAGTTGTGGTGCCATTTTTTAAACTTGTTCACAGAAAGCCTTGGGCAGCTATCATAAATATGTATCCCAGAAGCGATTTATAGTCAAGAATTTATTATACGGTGTCATGGTTGACTTGGATGTCCAGATCAAGGGAGACCACCGAGCATCAGACAGAAACACCAACTGTTTCTGCCTGGCCAGCACTTACCAGTCAGAGCTGACGAGCTTGATCAGACCTCAACTGGTTCCCAGAGAGACACGTCAGTGTCTGCCCTGGGCTTGCCCACGCTACAGCTTCGAGACCTGCTGGCTCCAAGTCTTTGCACTGCACCGTACTCAAGCTAAGCAGCCCCACAACACCTATGCTGACTCAGCACAGAACCAGTGCATTAAGCTGGTTTAACCACAACCTAGACAGGCCATCCGAAACAGTAGAGCTGACTGCCTTAGCACTGGCCTTCGCCTCTCCTAGCATGAGGGGTCTGAATGCCCTAGAGACAAATTCTCCATCATATCCTAAAACCTCTCCACAACATCGTCCTTTACCACAGCAGAAACTGCAACAGGGGGAGAACTATTTCCACTTTGATGATCTCCTGATGGGACAGTTGAAAAAAAGCCACCATCACCAGTGGCAGACACCAGGGCTGAGGAGGGAGGACAAGGCTGACGGAAAGGAAAGTAATCCAGTTTCCTTTGACAGCAGACAAAGTTGCTCTTTCTACAAAAAACAGCCCTAGGCCAACACCACTCAGGGTTGCACATACAAGAATGCTATGAAATAGTTTACACTAAGAACAGCTTCTAATAACAACAGACAAAACAATTAACTAGCAGGCCTAGTTTGCTGAAATGCAAAAAACTGTAAAGCTGAGAAAAGAAAAGGAAACATTAGCTTTGCCTAATGACGTTTTAAAGTAAATTTGCAACTACATCATTTCCTTGGGCCTTTGCTTCAGATTTCTGTACAGAACTAGGTCAGAGTAAAGCAAGCAAACAATTTCAGTTCAAGACAATTAAAATTAAACAAACTGCTATTAGGGCCTGGCCTGATCAAACCAACGAGCACCTAACTGCTCAATGTACTATTTAAACAAAAAGCTATTTTTTGCTTTCAATCATTCAAACCACTTTAATTGCTATTTGAGCTCCAAATAGAAATCCCGGTTTTATCATAAACTGCCTTTGACTACCGAATACTGAAAAATGCTCCGCATGTGCTTCCATCCTAACTAGCTGATAAACCAATGAGCCTGAAAAGAGTAGAGCGGTTGAAAAATTACCCTCCACCTGCCTATATTATTTTTGGAAATTCTCCCCCTAAAAATAAAACCAATAAGAGAAAAATTGCAACCAGTTCTGCCAAAAGCAATATTTTTACCTCTTATTTTGTTATCTTTATGAACCTTAGTCTTGCAGTTACATTTAATCTTCAACTTTCTATTGTACTCTGAGTACAGGACACAGAAGACATCTTACAGACAACTAGACATTTACACTCTCTAGGGGAGCAAAAATCTGTACAGAATTTCACAGGCTGGTAGTCTTGCACTGTCCTGCATCCAGGACTACTCTCCGCTCCATAAAGTTGATTTGCATTCCATCACTTGTTCTTCTGTGTCCTGTAACAAGACTGAGCTTCTTTTCTTGCAGCGTCCAGGATCTCAGCCCAGGAGATCGCCAAGTCCAAAACTACCAACAGGAAGAACTGTGTATCCTGTTAACTCATCAAAACTTAAACTGTAGATATTGAAAGACAAACCAAAGCAAAATAGAATACAATGCTGATTATTTTTAGACAAGTAAAGCAGCAACAGGGATATGGCAACAGAAAAACATATACATACTACAGGCAACAGGAGTTGCAGGCCACATTAGTTCCTGCATGCGTGACCTTCGACCTTGCGAATCGACGTATACTCCCATATGGCTGAAGCAAAGCAGGTATTCCTCATTACTGAGCTCCACAGCACAAAGGGCATCAAAAGACTGCTGTGAGAGGAAGATAAGCGAGGGGTCATTAGGATTTACCAGGTTTATAGATTGTCCATCTCCCTGGATGGTCAACAGAGAGAACCCAGACTGGTAGCCAACACAGAGCTTGTCCTTGAACACTGTCATCCACTGTACAGTTCCTGGAGCCTGGATTTCACTGAATTTTTTGTGGAAAGGTTTAGTTCTGTGAATTTCATAGCAAAAAACCTGTCGTTTGACAGCCACAAACAAACAAGTTGAAGAACTCTTCTTTAGTGTTCCAGTTGTAATTGATTGGCAGCCTTTAGTTTCTGCAAGCTTAATGTCAACGTTTCCTTCTAACCCATCCAGAGAAGCCCAGGGGTAAAGGTGAACGTGATGGTTCCGACCGCAGATGAGGATGATAATTTTCTCTTTGGGAGCAACCTCTATCTGGTACACCTTCTTGCAGTCAGCAGCTCGGACTATCACTGCAAAGGAAACGAGCTGCTCTAAGTTAAACAAGAAAACCATCAGGCCTGGAAACATTGCAGTGTTACATACTGATGTCTGAAAATTAATCTAAACACAGACACATACCAGATAAGAAAGAGCACTTATTACACACATTCAACACTCCATTATTAACTCTCAGAACAAACAATGAAACAAAGCATTCCTGTAACTCTCTCTATGGATATAAAATCTCACTTCAGCAACACTTTGTGGGAAAAGGCTACTTAACCTCTGGGATAAACAGAGAAAAAAATTTACAAAATAATATCTGCACTATCTATACACTGCAAGATGGTGTATCTTCTGAAACAGGTCCCACCTTCAAGAAAAACATCAGCATCTTCAGCAAATTACGGAGGAAGACAGAATTAGCAGAACACAAAGAGAATAAATATAAAGTATTTAATGCTGGTAATTGAGGATAGAAAATGCTGTACTGTTGGCAAATGTCTCAGCCAAATACAAAAGCAGTACAGTAAGTGGATGTTAAACACCTATAGGGAAAGGCAAAAAACGCTGCGTGTGCTGGGGAAAGGGTAAGTAAGAATAGGCTTAAGCTGTAGGAGGAGAGGTTTAAGACAGGCACCAGGAAAGCCTTCTCACAATGAAGACTAGTTAGGTAACCTGTGGAAGCTGGGGAATCTTCACTGTTGGAAGGTTTCTTTAAAACTGGGTTAGATGCAGCTAACAGGGTTAGGTACAACATGTTCTGCTTTTGGGATCGTGGGTATATTGGCACTTTCAAGAAAGCAGTGAGTATTTGATGGGGTAGGAATAGAAGAGACTAAGCAATTCCAAACTAGGAAACATAATATATAATATGCATAAGCCAATTATATTAAAACACCATTTTCATTTTTCTGTTAACCAAATGTGTTCAAAATATTTGTGAATTATAATAAAAAAAAATGTTAACTGGAAATTATATGCATTGTTTCAGTAGTAGTTGAGTAACATAGCCAAGTTACCAAATTCTGTAAAGTTATAACAAGACTTTGGCTGTTTAGATCAAAGCCAAGTGTTTTATGGCATTCCCCCCAACTGTACAAATAGATATGTCTGAAGAAATGTTCTATGAAATAACCAGCTGTTGGAACTTTGCCACAAAGATTTTTTTTTTTTCCCCTACCTCCAACTCCAGCTTACAGTTTAGTTTATTTGTCAAGAACTAAGTGATATTATGACGAAAGACCTTTGATACAAGCAGCGCACAGTTAATTAACACTGAAAATTACAACTGACATAAAATGAAAAAGACATTACGATTTATAAAAATGCTATTAACACACAGGAACTGGTCACAGAAAACTTAGGCAAAACATCTTTTAACTTGAAACCAAAACTGATAATTCATTTTCACATTTACATATGACACTGTGATGCAGATAATCGTTCCTTTGTGAAATGACCTTTCAAATTAAGTGTACAATTTTCTTTTATGCAATCAGCAGTACTGGAATCTCTGGAATTACTTGCATCTAAAGTTATGTTCATATCTAAGTACTTACAGAATGGTGACCACTGGAAGTTTACTCAAAGGAATGGCATTTCTTACTGCTAAAAAGAATTTCAAATATCTGCCGTCTCCATGTATAAAGCAGTTTCTCCTGAAATTTGGCAATGGCTTATTCTAAGCAAGAGGAAGCAATAACATTTTCCTTTTTCCCCTCAAAACTACATCCCTGACTTTGTACTTAATTTTATTTTGAAAGTGAAGTATGTCTTTAAAAACCTGTATTCGCTGCTGTATTTTACATTGAAATGCAAGTTTTAGCATGACTGCAATTCAAATTTCAAATAGTCACAAACTGAATGGCATTGAAAAAGGAAATTCAAATTCTTCCATCAAGTCGAAATTCAATTAAATGTATTCTTTGAAATTTGAACAACAATGACTAAAAATGGTCAAAGGGCTATTTCAGGAGTGTCCCAGGGATTTTTTTCCAAAGCTAGAAAAGGGACCCAGGCACCTTCTAATTTTACAAATCTGTATCACCAACCTCAACATCCGCACTTGCAGACAGCTAAAGACACCAGAAGAACCTAAGCTCAAAGGTTATAAATATAGGTGAAAAAAGCATTAGGTATTTTGTTAGAAACAATCCTACCAGAGAGCCAAGGCTGTTAGCTCTTATACCACAAAAAGCATGGATTTAGAGTGTTGTTTAAATTTAGCATGACTCAGGAGTTATAAGAAAGGATGGATTTCACAAGGTATGTTTGGCGCCTTTAAAGTCAGAGAGAAATAACTAACTAGTATTTCCCACAGTAACTTGGAAAAGGATAAATAGTAGATTATTGTACTTTAAATCTGCTTTCCTTCTTAGAAATACATTACTTCTATAAATTCAGTTTAACTTGCTTTTTTAATTTTTTTGTTCATTTGTTTGTTCAAAATAAGAATATCTCATTTTGGAAACAGACTGCAAAATTAACCAGACTTGTTCCTTGCTTTCCCATGTTTAAAATTGCATTTTGTATGGATTGACCCTGAACAAACCCCATGCTCATGTGCTAGAAACCCTTTTGGCCTCCATGCTTTCCCCACTGTACCAAGGCATGTCTCCCATTGTTATTGTGTTTGTGCTCAGTATACCAGGTTAAAAGGAAAAATGCTTCCCTTACTCCCTAGCTGTGATGCCTAATAATTCAACGATAGAGGGGTATGCCTGTGCTGCCCAGTGACTACACAGCATACACTTTGCTGTGCTACCCGCAGCACACTCTGTGTGAATTTCTGGAATGCATATGGTAAGTCTTCAGAAAGAACAGGCTAAACTGATCCCACTTTTCCCAAAGCAGAGGGCAGAGTGCATTAAGAATGGGAAGGAAAAAGCAGATTCAGGAGGAAGCATGGGGTCACAGAAATAAAGAAATAATGGAAAAGGGCAAGCAAGACATTTGCTTTGGCCATCATCAGTCTGAAACAGAATGAGAGTGGTTGTCAAATTTCTGGAAGAAACAGACAACAATACATGTAGACTTCAATGGAAAGCCTACAAACTCTTGCGTTGCTTGCACTGGCTACCTTCTAATTCATGGCAGTTTAAATCCTCTGATGGTGCAGACTGGAACAAGTCTGTTTCCATGTCAAGTTTTTCTCAGCCAATTCAAGTTCTATTTAGTAACTGTGCATCAACTGCTGCTGTGTGTGCTGTGCTGTGCCTGCTCTGTGTGCTGAAGCATTTTGCTACCTGCTGTGGGAACACAGTTTAGGTGAGAATGTGTCAGAATATGCCCAGTAGCCCATCACTTTAATTTCAGCCAGTCAACTAAATGTAATGATAATGACCAAATTAGTGCTTATATCTCACATTCACTTTTCCTTCTCATCAATTAACCGAGTGCTTAATACTTACTATATATGAAGTGTTGTTGTGTAACCTATATTATAACAGCACTAAAAGTTATGGAACTCATTATTCTGTATGTAATTACTGCATGCATTATGGCCTAACTTACCGTCACGGGTTACCTCTATCACATACAGTCCTTCTTCTGAACCAATTGCTATTCTATCTCGATCTAAAGCAGGAAGGGGAAAAAAAGGCTGTTAATTCAGCTATACTTAATCTTATCTTTAAAACAGACTGTTTGCTTTGAACAGCTGGAAAAACTTCCGGACAAACAGATTTTCAACAGCTAATCAATTTTGCTTAAGTTCATGCAGTCTGTCAAAAGCATGCTATATACCATATTGCTAAAACGACCTATTAAACAAGTAAACAGTATTACTTACTCTGAGTGGATGAAGAAATTTGAATATCAATGCAAGATTAGCATTTTTTCCCCATTATTAAATTCCTGTGAAGGGATTCGGCTGAGGAATTTATTTCAAGGTGTCAGTGCTCTCATTACAGAAGCCCATCTAAAAGCTCCAACAACTCTCACACACTTATAAAAGTTAAACCAAACATACCTACAATAGCAGCAGCTAAACTTGCTTTAATAAGAGGCAGTGTACTGTCATAGGCTTCTTGTGGAATATGCACAACCTGGTTTTTCAGTCTGTTTTTGTGCAGGATAGACTGCAGCCCTTCTAGGATTCCAACCCACTTTCTCTTCTCATTCTCATTTTCCGTCAGGATCAGTAGAGAACAAGACTTGGAAGGCAAACCTAAGAGAGAAGCTGTCACCTTTTAAGAGACAGAGAAAGCAGAATTAATAAGGGTAATAAAAGCCCTTTTTGTCAGTATTGTATGCTCTGCAGAACTGTGAAAGTAAAAGCCACTTTTTCATAACAATGTGATGATGTACCTGAGTGGTATGCAACAAAGCACACAGCTAATATGGCCACAGTGCTTTGAAAAAATGCACAAGCCTCAGTGATTTTGTTTAAAAATACTCAGTCTTGCTTAATCATTTTGAATCCTAAAATATGGGCAAGGAACTCTACATTCCTTTCCTACAATAACCAGTATGTGCCAGCAGAAGGATCCTTCCTGCTCCAAACTGCAATTTTAGTAGCATGCAATAATTTGTCCTGATCCCTCCGCGCACCATCTTTTAATAACTTACTGAAAATGACACACATGCTTTCTGAGTCAGATGCACTTAAATCCAATGGCAATGCCACGATTAGTTCTAGATTTTGATTTGGCTACTTAATTTTCAAAATATTTGTCCAGGAGGAAGAGCACATCATATCTGCATTAAAAGCTCTGGAGGAAAACAATCTTTTGAGACTGAAGTATTCCTCCACTTCCCCAAGTTAAAAGAAAATCACGATGGCTTCACTTAATTTTCAGGTAAATCATCCTATAGAAAAACCATCCAGGAACTTTCTGTTGGCCAAAGTATGCACTTAGTAATTCTTAGTATTAGTTACGTGTCCTGTATGAAGAGATTGTAGGAATGGTGAGATTGTGGGAACTATGCTTTCAGTCATAGACAAACAGGCCATCAGCCAGTATTGACCCTCACAACAGACTCTTAGAATAATCACAGTTAAACAGAAGAAAAGCAGCAAAATGTGCAAAAATGCAAAACTGAAGGCTATAACTATTCATACATGGAATAACACACCTTCAACCTATATGCCTTGATAAGAAAAATCACCATAAAGATGGACGATGTGGTTAGGCAACAAACATTTCCTGAAAGAGTGAATTAAGTAATAACATTCATCTTAAAGAAAAAAAAATATACCTGGAAGTAAACTTGGGACAATAGGATGTCAAAGACAGAACTCCAGAAGTAAGAC